CAGTAATCTTATGCTTAGAATTAATGTTGAAGCAAGAAATGAGGAACAATAGAGGCACTTTTAATGTTGGGGCATTTTTGGAGATTCAACATTGAATATTGGGGCATCTCCGGGGATTCAAAATCCTGATGCGAACGATCAGATATTCCGAAGGCTTTTCCTCCACATGTAGGAACCAACAAGCAAAAAATGAGATTTTGTCCAAGGAATAAAACAAGAACTCATTCAGTATGCATACATTTTAGAGCATCATATTTATCATTTTTTCACATACATAAGTTTTGCAGCTTTAGAGTCAAGTTTCAACTTTAAGGCGAAAGATACTTGATTCAAAAGAGTTTGTAAAAATTGATGGTGGTTGCTTAACTCAGCAGCAAGAAGTCACACTTCAACCAACTTAAGAGATTGAAAGATTGACATTCATCTTCAGATTCAACATTTCCAATATAAATTTTGTCTCGCTTGAGAAAGTCTCATTTAATGCAGATGATTATCTCAATTGAGATTGCTTTTCTTAAAATAGACTTTGTCTCACTTGAGACTGTTTCACTCGAAAGAAGGCATTTCATTTCACTCAAGACTGTTTTTAAAAAGAAGATTTTATCTCGCTTGAGATAGTTTCCCTTGAAACAAAAGATTGTCTCCCTTGAGACAGTTTCTCTTGAAACATAAACATTGAAAACATTTCCCTTGAAACGAATTTTGTCTCTCTTGAGATAGTTTCCCTTGAAACAAAATTTTGTCTCCCTTGAGACAGTTTCTCTTGAAACATAAACATTGAAAACATTTCCCTTGAAATAAATTTCGTGTCTCTTGAGACAGTTTCCCTTGAAACAAATTATTTGAATATATTTTATTTGAAACAAATTTCGTCTCCCTTGAGACAGTTTCTTTTGGAACTAAGTTTTGTCTCTCTTGAGACAGTTTCTCTTGAAACAAATTTCGTCTCTCTTAAGACAGTTTCCCTTGAAACAAAATCTTTGAATTTATTTCCCCTAAAACAAATTTTGTCTCCCTTGAGACAGATTCTCTTGAAACACAGAATCTTCAAATTTATTTCCCTTAAAACAAAATTTTGTTTCCCTTGAGACCGTTTTCATGAAACAACAGATATCTTTGAGATCGTTTCCCTTGAAACGAATTCTTTCTCTTTCGAGACAACTTCTCTTGAAGCATCATCTGAACTGTTACACTCAGCTCAGACACATACTTGAGATGGTCGGGAAGCATTTCTCAAATCAAAAATAGAATGTGCACATCATATTTGAACATTTGAAGAATTCAAGATCATAGATCAGAACTTGAAGATTCAAGAATCAAGATTCCAGACAGGCAACCGGAGATCGAGATTTCTCTCCAGAGCCCCAAGATAACATATGTTGCATATGCATTTTAGGCATACCTAAGAGCATTGCATCCATGGCATCACATATATGCATAATTTTTTCAGGTTTTAGCCAATTTCAACTTTGCATCGAAGGATATTGAACTCAAAGCAACACAATTTGCTCGAGAGTAGATTTCAACTTCACGACGGAGGATATCTAACTCCAAGAAAAACTTCACAATAAAGGGGTCATCTACGGTTTCAACTTCACGGCGAAGGGAATCGTGTCCACCCGCAACATACAATACTTGGATTTCAACTTCACGACGAATGATATTCAAGTCAAGGCTCAACTTTACAACGAATGGTCCATCCGCGATTTCAACTCCACGACGGAGGATATCTTACCCACACATCCACAATTTCAATTCCACGACGGAAGATATCGTGCCACTCGAGACAACACAAGTTCAACTTCACAACGAAGGGACAGCTGGTTGTCAACAAACAATTTCCCAGTTTCAGAACCAATTTCAACTTCACAGCGAAGGATATTGGATTCGAGACAACACAAGTTCAACTTCACAACGAAGGGACGACTGGTTGTCAACAAACAACTTCCCAATTTCAGAGACAATTTCAACTTCACAGTGAAGGATATTGGACTTAAGACAGCATAAGCTCAACTTCACAGCGAAGGGGCGGCTGACTGTCAATAAACAACTTCCCAATTTCAGGGCCAATTTCAACTTCCCAGCGAAGGATATTGGACCCAAGACAATACAAGCTCAACTTCACGACGAAGGGGAGGCTGATTGTCAACAAAATTTCATTCAGAGTTAATTTTAACTTCACAACGAATGATATTAGACTCGAGACAGCACAAGCTCAACTTCACAATGAAGGGGCGACTGACTGTCAACAAACAATTTCCAGAGCCAATTTTAACTTCACGACGGAGGATATTGGACTTGGAACAATACTACCTACTTGGATTTCAACTTCACGATGAAGGATATCCAATTACCAGACTCAACTTCACGACAAATGTGCCACTCACGGTTTCAACTTCACGACGAAGGGAATTGTGCACACAACCAACATCCATCTCTAGATTGGATTTCAACTTCATGACGAAGGATATCCAACTCAAAGAAGGGTTATCTGTCAACAAAGACCTTCGAGTTCGATTACGCTCAGCTCCAAGACACATATTTGCAGCATATCTCAAGGCAAGAAGGGTTATTTGTCAACGAAAATTGTCGAGTTCTATTCCATTCAGCTCGATGACACCTCAATCACACTATTGTCCGACTGCAATCGAGGTTTTCAAGCCGAGAAGAAGATATGGGTTAGCCGTGCCTTAGTAGCAAAAAGCCTTTTTTCTGTCAGCATAGCTTAAGTCGAGAAAAGCTATCTGTCAACGAAGACTTTTCGAGTTCGGTTTCATTCAGCTCGAGAGCATATCAACCACATTATAGAGTCAAGAGATTACTTTCCAGTCGAATTTTTAGCCAAGGTCTTTAAACCGAGAAGAAGACCAAAGTGAACTACAACGAGAAACCACATTCTGATTCAAATCATTTCAAGATGGACTCAACTTCGCGAAGGAGGAGCCATCCGCAACTCAATTCGACAGGGAATTATTCTTCAACTCCATTGAACGCAAATTTGTCTTTTTATCTTTGTCCTATTTTTCGTTCCACGAAAAAGAACAAAGAGAGGCAGCTGTAGACACCAATTTTCTTAAAAGATAGAGCTAACAAGAGTTCCTCTCCTAAGAGGACTCTTCCACCACCATATCTTTTAAAGCAATAACCACACCAACAAACGTGCAACAACCGAGCAAGGAGTCTAGTTGTATTATGATTCTATTGTTAATAGGATTCTAAAAATAGTTAGTTTTTTTCACTATAAATACATGTAATCCTCCCCATTTGTAAGACACGGATTTACATAGAAGATACAGAGGAAAGCACGAAAAAATACAAAGGCAAAGCTATTGTAAACGATTCGAAAAGAAAATAAAAGGTATAATCTTTTTTTACATTGATTCGTTCATTTCTCGTATGTGCATGTTATTTTTCTTGAGATTTGGTTTGAATAACCCAAAGCGTGGGTTGCACCGATGACCAAAAAAGAGTGGGGTTTCGAAGTTTCGAACCTAGATCTACTCCCGAGGCATGTTCATTTTTTAAAGTATTTAATATTCCCCCTAAGTCAATCTTAATCTTTAATTTACCTTGAAATTTACCTTTTAATTTTACTTTTATATTAATTTCGTCCCATATATATATATTTTTAATTATATTTTTTATTTATTTACTATATTTCCTTTTTTATTTATATTATATTATTTTCATTATATATATATATATATATATATATGTATAGATGTATTAATTTTTCTCCATTTACTATGTATATATATTTTTTCTTAATATTATATTTTATACGTTTTTATATATATTTTTTCTTAATATTCTATTTTTGTTTTTATTTATTTATATATATATATATATATTATATTTTTACTTTATTTTATTTTTTTCTATTTTTTAATATCATGTATATCTTTATTTTTTATTTATTTTATTTAGTATTATATATTTATTATTTTATTTGTTTTAGTAAATACTACTTTATATGTACACATTATTTTTATTCTTTTTTATTTTCTTTTACATTTTTTATTTTTTTTACTCCATTAATATTTTCTCTTTATCTGTGTCTTTGTTTTTTTAAAATTTTATTCATTTTGTTTATTTTATTTATTTTATTATTTTTTACGTGTTTTGTTATTTTTCATTTTTTCTTGTTTTATTTATTATTCTCACGTTTGCATACTTACTATCCTAATTCGATTTTATACTCCGCTACGAGTCAAACGTTTTTATCTTTTAAGGGTATTCAAATTAATCAATTGTAAGTAATTTGAATCGGGTCTGTTAAATTTTAATTTCGAATTTTCGTAACTAAGACAACCGGCAAATTAATTGGTACCGAAAGGGCGGTTCAAGGGTGTTAATCCTTCCTTGACCGTAACCCCCGAACCCGACACATTTCTGGTAAAAACGCAGATTAGGTAAGATGGTGTCCGACCCACCTAAATTTGTTTTAAAATGGTCGGTTGCGACTCCAATCTACATTTTTCAAGTTGAAGCCCAATTCCAGAGCCCAACCGAAAGACGGTTACGACAACTATAAAAATACATATGGTAATTGGGACCGAAATATTAATTCAAACAGATTACAACTGAAAAATTAATGTATGTGTTCATTGTGTAACACCAGATGGGTTCCCTATTAAGTCTCTAAAACATGGATTTTAGTAGACTGGAGGGAACAGGGAAAGGCAGTTCAACTATAATGGTTTTTCAACTTTCAAGAGATCCTTTTATGGTCGACTTTCACTAGCAATTTCGATTTCCAGTTGACATCGATTGCTTGCTTTGCTCGTCTTCGGTTCTTCTCAGAAACTCCAAATATACATTGCCTCATAGCATTAGCAAATGATCTTTAGTAAATTTGATTGTCCTTTAGTAAATCTCTGCAACTTTACGGCTGCAGAAGCTAAAAAAGTTATGTTGCAGAAGCAAAGGAGAAAGCCCCCGTGTTATAGTAGACTGTGTTTATATCTGGTTCTAGTCCAAAGTTGCGTGGTAATTTATTAATGGTTTGCTTTATTGACTCATTTATTGTGCAAGGCTTTCAACAGCCAGCTTTGGCGATATCTATAAGTAAAGAGATGAAAGCAGAAGAGTATTCATGGGCAGGAGGTTGCCTATCTACAAGTGTCCTTATGAATCTGATTTGCAAAAGATTTCACCCTGCACATACTAATTTAAATAGAAAATAAAATACCAACCTAAACCATTAATTATTAGGGAAAATAAAGCATATAGTACTTAAACTATCAATTTTGGTTTGTTTTAATACATAAACTTTTAATTTTTTTAAAACTATACCTAAAATTTAGTTTTTATTTTATTTTAACACCACTGTTCAAAATTTAATGTTAATTTTTGAAAAAATTGAAAGTTTAGGTCTAAAACGGACTAAAACTTATAGTTTAGGTACTAAATACGTAAGTTTTTAACGGTGAAGTACTAAAATAAAATAAAAATTAAACATTAAATATGACTTTAAAAAATTAAAAGGTTAAATACTAAAATAGATCAAAACTAATAATTTATGTACTATATACATAGTTTACCCTTATTATCACAATTGAATTTGGAGATCAGATCCAAACCAAACAGCGGTGCGCGCGCAAGATGGCAATTGTTCGATTGGTTTTAGGTCGATCAGTCTATCCATTGTTTATGCGATGCCGTTTAGGGTGAAATATAAACGACGTCGTTGTTGCTCTTCAAAAATTAAAAATGAATATTGGCGGTGGCGGCTTATATTTTCCTCTCTCTCTCTCTCTCTTTTTTTGTCTAGAGGCCAAGCTGTAAATGGCCATAAGGCCCTTCAATTTCGCGACATTCTCTCTTCGCCGCCACCTCCCTTTCTTCCCTCTCCTCCTCCGCTTCCCTTCCCTTTCTCCGAGGAATCGCCTCCAAAACCACCTCCGCCACTCCCGTCTCTCAACAACAACAGAAGAAGAGCGTCTGGTTAAAGGAGCTGAAAGAAGCCGAAACCCTGGCTCAGAAGATCGGAAAATCTATTAGGCACCCTGGCGCTCCTTCGAAGTCTAGGGTTTACGCCGATGTCAACGTTATTCGCCCAAAAGAATATTGGGACTACGAGACCCTCACTATCCAATGGGGGTATTATTCTCACTATTCTCTCTATTCTCTCTATACCCTCTATTTCGTATGTGTTTTTATTTTGTTATGTTTTAATATTTTTTAATGTTGTTATTTGCTGCTGTTTGATGCTTTTGGATATGACACATAGGGTTCTTATTCTAATTCACTTAATCTTGGCTGGAAATTAGGTTAAAACAAGCCTGTTGGCTGTAAAATGTTAAAATTATGGTTAATTGATTGATTTAAACACTGCTTAGCAGTGAACAGGATGATTATGAGGTGGTGCGGAAAGTTGGGAGAGGGAAATATAGTGAGGTTTTTGAGGGGGTTCACTGCAACGATAACGAGAAATGCATTATCAAAATTCTCAAACCAGTTAAGAAGAAGAAGGTCCGTCCTCTGTTGCACACTACTAAATACTGCCGTTGGTTTTAGTTGTGTTTTTGTAACTTGTTTTGATTAAATGACTATCTGGAATGCAGATTAAGAGGGAGACAAAAATACTGCAGAATCTTTGTGGAGGGCCAAATATTGTGAAGTTGCTGGATAAAGTTAGGGATCCACAATCGAAGACTCCGAGTCTTATATTTGAATATGTGAATAATACTGATTTTAAAGTGCTTTATCCGACGCTGTCTGATTACGATATTCGATATTATATCTATGAACTTCTGAAGGCAAGTAAATCATTTACCTCCTGATTTATTTATTCATATACGCCATGACATTGAAGTAGAAGTTGAAACGAGATACATAATTTTAGGCTTAAAAACTGAAAAGCATGTTTCCATTTGTCTTGTATCTCTTCGTGCAATGAAAGTTTGAGTTCAGACCTAGGTAATTAGGTTAGTAGCCATGCTGGTGGCTGAGAAATGATTTTCTTTTTGGAATCAAGCTTCTCATTCAAAGAAAGAGAAGTTTGTTTCTTTTGTTTAAACTTTAAGATAGATATGTGCGTATCGGTCTTCTTTTCTGGGTCATCAAATGTTTTACTTCTTGTTTAGATGAAAAGGCAAGACAGTGTTGTAAATATTGTGGAAGTTAGAGGTCACCTCATTCTTACCTTGGATAATACATGCTTCAGGAGTTGACTTATCAGCTTTATCATAAGTCAATGTTGATTTGTCATTTGGGGTAACCATTGGTTCCAGTTTTGAGGAAACACTTTGATGTTGTTTTTAAGATATTTGTGCTTATAATGTGAATTTTGATATTTATTTCTCTTTTCTTCACAAAGAGGAAAGATGATTCAATCATTAAGTATTGAGTCTTTATTTTTAGGCATTGGATTATTGTCACTCGCAAGGTATCATGCACCGAGATGTGAAGCCACATAATGTGATGATTGATCATGAGCAGCAGAAACTTCGGCTTATTGACTGGGGACTTGCAGAGTTCTATCATCCAGGGAAAGAATACAATGTTCGTGTTGCTTCGAGGTTTGTTTCCCTTTTTGGCATTTTTCCTTTAACGTTCTCAATTGTTAAAATATCCTTATTTCTTTTTCTTATCCTTCTTATGGCCAGTTTTATTTTACATCCTTCTGATTGCCCCAAATTTCTTATCTTAGATATTGCACAACCACAAGTTGATTTAGATAAATTACAGTAGCTGGTGCATTGGCAGTGTTAAGTTTTCTCCCACAGTTGACTAAGATGATAAAAGGATTGACTTGTCGATTCATAGTTTAAATTCATTAAATTCGATTTGGTAACCTAAGGCGACAATATATATGGAGGAGGTTAAGAATAATAGAAGTGGCTGAACCTTAGTGATTGTTATGTACTTTTGCTTCAAACTTAAAAAATTAGAGTTGAATAGCAATGGATATGGTGCCTAGAAGCAATCATGAAATATGCATTACTTAATGCATTTTGCTCTTGGTTTGAGAGGAAAAATAAATTGATGTTTTAATTAATGCAATGTAATTCTGAAAATCTAAAACTACAGTAAGTTTGAAGACGAAAGATAGGGTAATATTCAATATGCATTCAAAACTGAAGTACAAATGGAGGGGAGATGGGGATGATGCCTATAAGATTTAGGGAAAGACTTGTTTACATGTTAGTTCAAGGGTATTGTTTTATAGGATTTTGTTAACAAGTGCCCTAAGTGTACTCATTGAGGTTACCATATATAGTACTATCTTCATCTATTTTATTGAAACTGATTAATAAAGTACAAAACCCTATTCACTATTAGAAGAGGCACTTTCTAGTGGACTTCATATTTGTTTGCATGTTATTTTCAATTTGTTTTACTAGATTTCTGAGTATTATCAACTTGGGCATTTTCATATTTCTGTTTCTTTGGTTTCAAAATTCACCCTCCATTGATTGATGCATAACATTCTCCCCCCTTTTCTATCATTTCATTTCTTGTTTGCAGATATTTTAAAGGTCCTGAGCTTCTTGTTGATTTGCAAGACTATGATTACTCTTTAGACTTGTGGAGTCTTGGCTGTATGTTTGCTGGAATGGTGAGTTACTACTAACCTTAGTATCATTTTACCCCTTTAGGCTTAGATCACTTGCACAAAGTAAGGTTTTATAGTGTGCTTACCCTTGGAACTTCATATTCAAATTCTCCTTATGTACATTTTCGGTGTAAATGTCTTTAGGAAAGGCTGATCATCTTCAAGTCTTGGTTCAAATGTCTTCTGCTATATTACCAATGCATCTTTAAATGTTAATAGAAATCAGGCAAATGGGCTTTATTTATATCACGACTCTTTGAATATGTTAAAATATTAATGTCTTACATTTTATTGGGTAGAATTTTGCCATTGAAAGAGCATATCTTTATCTACTTGCATATTCATCCATGGGTGGCAGATAGCAGAAGAGAATAAAAGTTGATATTACCCCAAATTATTCCATGCTCTCTTTTGAGATGCTTACTTTTGAGGGTTTTGCTATACAGATATTCAGAAAGGAGCCATTCTTCTATGGGCATGATAATTATGATCAACTGGTCAAGATAGCCAAGGTACATGAGTTGTTGATGTTTTAATTAGGACTGAACTCACAGAATTGTGCCATTGTTTACGTCGTCATCTTGTAAGATATTATTTTGTTGTTGAGGCCTGTATAGTTATCTTCCTCTTATTGTAATATTTCTGCTGTTTTTGAAGAAATAAGATGCTTCTATGTGGCATAATGGAGGCCTATGGAGAGTGGTAGAGTCCTTTCAGTAATTGTTAAAATTGAATTATTGGGGATGTAAAAAATAATCCCTGTTTCTTTAATACTTGTATTTGCTGCTACAGGTTCTGGGAACAGATGAATTGAACGCTTATCTGAACAAGTACCGCATAGAATTGGATCCCCATCTGGCGGCTCTTGTTGGAAGGTTGGTAATATAATACAATTGTCATATTGATAATAGGGAAGTGCTACGATTCTCAGTTGAGGAATTTTCTCCCTCTTTACTATACAGGCATAGTCGTAAATCTTGGACAAAGTTTATTAATGCTGACAATCAACATCTAGCATTGCCTGAGGTAGTAGAACTAACGATTTCTTTCTACAATTGTTTGACTTCTCCTTGCATCCCATATTTAATGTCAATGTATTTCTTGTAAGGCCATCAACTTCGTTGATGAGCTGCTTCAATATGATCATCAAGAAAGGCCAACTGCTAAAGAAGCAATGGTAAACTCCCCATCTTTATGAACCTGTTGAAGAATACTCCTTCGATTTGTCAGACACAGCTTTCCGATATTTGTCTAGCTGTAGTCTGACATATGTGCCACTATACTCCCTAAAAAATGTTACAACCTAATTGGATACATATTTTTTTATTTGGCATTGCAGGCCCATCCTTATTTTAACCCAATTAGAAATGCGGAGAGCAGCAGAACTCGGTCGTAGCAAATGCCAATTTCATGGTGATGGTGTTGAAGAGGTGGACAACTCTTCTTTTTGTGGTTTGGCTGGTGCATGAATCCTGCTGCCTCTGTAGTGTGACCGTAGATCTGATTATTTATATGTGGTTTGTTTGAGAGCCAAAGGGAAATTTCAGTTTATTTCCAACCTTTCATATTTGATACATTAGTAGTGCCTGATAATCTGTGTTCATATATGAGACTAACAATTTGATTGAATTGACTTTTTTGTGCCTCAGTCATTCGATGATTTCGGCAAAATTGGTCTAATAGGTCAGACGGATTGAAAAATTGGCCTATTAGGCCATCTCCAAAATTAGTATGGGATTTATGGCAAATATTATAGTTACAGTGTAAACTCGTTATGCCCACATGACGAGTTTGCTCTAATAATATTGTTTTATTCAAACTCTTCATTGAGATGACAAATATAAAAATATATAAAAAAAATTTATTAGAATTTTATTACGTCGTAGTGACAAATTTTAATAAAAAAATATATTTATTAGAATTTATTATATTTACGTGATGAGTTTCAAGTCGTAAATGTTGAAGTTCTCAAAATAAAACATCTGGTGCCGTGTTGGGTTAAATAATCAACCCGCCTGGTATTGGGCTGATCTTGCCCAATGATTTCACCTTCAGCTTTTCATGGGCTTCTTGGGTATAAGTTGGCTCATTCCATTCCATTTCTTTTAGTAGTTTTATTATATATATATTTATGAAACGAATATTAGTGGTGTATTTGTTTTGCTGTCAAGAGTTTATTCTTAGTCTCTGAAACAAAGCGTTCAACCACACTACTATAACGTATCAAACCACTGTTGGCTTATCCATTTATTAATATTACTTGATTGTTTTGTAATTTCAATTGTCTGAACGTCAGTTTTATTTCCATAAAGGAAGAAAAGCAAAACAACTTTTAGTATTTCCATTCATTCTAAATCTGATTGTGGGAACAGTTATCTCTGCTAATTATAATTTGTATGTTAGATGTTAGAAATAGCTGCACGTGGATATGATGTCAGTTGGCGTCGTAGTCTCCCGTAAACAAACATATATATATATACATGTATATATATATATATATATATACATGTATATATATATATATATATATATATATGTCGCAACCGTCTTTCGGTTGGGTCCTGAAATCGGGCTTCGACTTGAATGAATTGGGTTAGAGTCGTCACCGACCATTTTAAAATGAATTTAGGTGGGTCGGACACCATCTTACCTAATCTGCGTTGTACCAGAAATGTGTCGGGTTCGGGAGTCGGTTACGGTCAAGGAAGGATTAGCACCCTTTAACCGCCCTTTCGGTACCAATTAATTTATCGGTTGTCTTTAATGGCAAAAATTAAAAATTTAAATTGAAATTTAAAAACCCTATTCAAATTACTTACCTTTGATCAGTTAGAACTTCTCTACAATGTCAAGAATGTCAGATTGGAAAAAAATAAAAATAAAAATAAAGATAAAGATAGAAAAGTAAAAATAAGAATGTTAAGAAAAAATATGAGGAAAAAAATATTCAGCCTTAAAAAGTATATACATATATATATATATATGTGTGTGTGTACAAAAAGAAAAATGTGGAAAGAAGAATAAATAAATAAAAAGGTAAAAATTAAAATAACATATATATATAATAAATAAGTAAATAAATAATTAAAAAATGTAAAGGATTCACGTAGTAAGAAAAAACAAAAGGACCAAAACAAAATCAAAATAAATATACATGCCAAATTCGAGATTTAACTAAAATGAGAAATAGTGCCCAAAATGCGAGATTAATAAATACGAGGCGCA